GGAGTTTAATTACAAAAAAGAAAGAAAGTGTGAAGATTTAAATGAGACGAAGTGAGTAATAATGGAGATGATATTGATGGTGTAAAATACATACTCTATATTGGTTAAATATATATTCTCTCTGATATAATTTTATCAAACTTTCTCTTTTGGTTGTCTCACTAAACTTATCACTTTCTTTTTGAAGTAAAGGATTTGTGGTTGCAGTTGATTCTCTCTTTTTTGTTCAAATCCCAGTCGCACATTTGTTATTTTATTATTCATGTGCCAGTCTAATTTACCAAGTTTTAAGGGACGCATGCAATAATATACAATAAGGAAGTTATGTTTTTACTAACATTTCATTTAATTGATTTAGATCCCATTTGGTGACTCTGTTTTCAACTTATCAAAATTAATAACCAATTTTTCATCAAATATACAACTTTTGATTTTGAGCATTAAATTGTCTAATAATCAAAATAAATAAGTTAAAGATTATTTTTCTGGCAGAACTGTCTAAAGTTACTGCAGAGAATCATTTTAACCATTTTTCATATTTTTTTTGTTTCATTACCAAAATAAATTTAAAATATAATTTTCCTAAATTTTCATTTTCTTACCTCTACAACATATAAAATCTATGTATTTTTTTATTTGACAAAAATATACATTAAATGACAATGTAAAAAAAATAATTTCAAATAATTTGTTTTACCATTCTAGATACACTTCGTGCATCGCACAGGTATTTCGTCTAGTTAGCGGATTAAGCCAATCCATCTTATGCATCACTCTTACAAAACGGGCTTTAAAATGTTTTTCAAAAAGTAGTATAGAAGTCCTAGAAGGTTTTTCAAAGTGAACCTAAGCTTTTGTCGTAAAATAGTAAGCCGACAAGATAAACATGCTTATATTCTGCATATAAGATGCTAGATAGCGTGATGCACTGATGCATGTGAGTTTATGGTTCAATTGACTAACAAGTAAAAAGCAAAATAATTCGTAGTTATTACCAGATGGTTAATACTCATTTGTATTCATACCAAGAAGCAAACTAGTGTTCTAAGTCAATGAAGGTTGTGAAAGGCCAAATGGACCAACAAAATTTCAACATAACAAATCCATACAGAGCAATCCATCACTACTAAAGAGGACAACAATCACATGACAAATTATAAGAGTACCTGAGCATCCTCTCTTATTCTTAGGTTTTGTCCGGCAGGATTTAGCAAGTCATTAACAACCTGAACAATGTGACAACAAGAATTAGTTCAATAATTAAAACAATCGACAAACATAACTTTGTAAGCTGACAAAGTTACTTGCACATGAACTTCCAGATGTGACGCAATAAAACAGCTCTGGACCATTAAACCATAAAAACATACCTCATTGTAGATTTCCAGATATGACACACGAAGCAGGTATTCTCGGCTAGGAGTCTAAAGCATGAAAAAAGTGCAGTTGAGGGTCTGTCTCAAAGCATAAAGCTCAACAGTATGCAGTTATTCAAATATATTGAAGTCTACCTCTTGAATTATACTGAAGGCATCCTTCACAGCCAATGGTATAATACCAGGGGACCTCTGATCACCCTATATGCATGTGAGTAAAAAAAATAGTCAAGAGGCATCCTTCCAGCACAAAAAACATGTTTCACAAAACAGGGAACCCATTTCATACGAATTTCATATATATCAGCAAGCCAACTATTTTCATTCAACTCTGGCAACAAAAGTTTCTCAGTCCACCGTTGCTCAAAATCACTTGTGCTATGTGAACTCATAATAATATCAACTAATTCTTTATGGAGTTCAGTATATGCAGAGCTAGAGACATTCATCTTTTCAGGGAATTTTGTGAGTATATGCCATAAACAATGATGATGTGATACATTTGGTAATACATCAGCCACTGCTCGAGCTATAGCTGCATCCTGATCAGTTATTATTACCTTTGGATGGGGTATAGGATCCATAGCTTCTAAGAACTTTGATAGAAGCCAAGAAAATGACTCAGTCGATTGATCACTAAGCAAACCGCAACCAAAAACAGTAGTTTGACGATGATGATTAACACCAACGATCGGAGCAATATAAAATCCATACTTGTTCGTATTAAATGTTGTATCAAATACAACCACTTCGTTGAAAATTGAGTATGCATTCCTACTATCACTATCGGCCCAGGAGCATCTAGTAAGAACATTTTCACTATCAATCTCAAACTTGTAGAAGAAGTCACAATTCCTATATTTTTCAGTTTGAAATCCATGAATCATTGTTTGCACATCAATCCCATTAAATTCGGATTTCAATGAGGCATTGTAATTATATATATCAGTCTCTATGCACCCATCGTAGATAGGCCTCCAGCTTCACTCTCCAACAAACGAATCTGGATATGTGTCTCAATATTTGCTTCTCCCCACTCATTCATCAATACTCTCTTCGAAGCTGACACTTCTCGGTGAGAACGAAGCAAATGTGTCTTACTAGGACTAACAAGGTCATGATTATGGATCTTCTCAAATTGTGACACAACCCACAACCCGCTTTGTCGATTTCTCGAAACATGCATCTTAGCAAGACATCCACGCCTAGTTCGGCCCCTATTTCTTTCGAAGACAATTTTATTTTTCTTCTTTGAAGACAAATTTGTTCGGCCTTCTTTGGAGCATGTAAATGCTCTCCATGTTATAACTCCAGCTTTATTAACAGTTGAATTTTTTTATTTTAGTGCTGAATCCAAGCAGCTTTGCATATGCATTATAGAAAGCCTGAGCATTATCTAGCGAATGAAATTGTTGGCCTAATTTAGGTGTTTCCTCAAAGTAAAGATCTGAAAGACAAATTAAATTTCATAGAATCTTGAATTAGTAAACAAAATTAAAGACTAAAATTAGACTATTTTAGGACAAGACGTGATCAAACCATACAAAGCTAATACAAACACAATACGTTTATTAGATCACGTCAGAATTAAGCAGATCAGATTGTACCATACATGCCAAATAGTAATAAAAACACAAAAACAATACATTTAGCATATCGTAGCAGACTTAAGTAGACTAGATCAAATCATACATAGACAATAGTAAAATGCACACACACAATACATTTAAAAGATTAGACCATAGATAATAGTAAAAGACTAAAAACTCATACACAATTTGTTAATACTCGTATGGTATATGGTTTAGTCTACTTTGACCTACTATTATTATATATAAATATAAATAAGTTATGATAACAATTATTGAATTAAAGTGTAGTTTTTTATTTGGGTTTAAAAGACATAGAAGAACAAATAATCTCAGTGTCCCAACTCCCAACATACAAAAATATTAGAGTTTTTTGGTGTGCTATATGTAACAAAAGTTAAAAAAATAGTATATTAATTAATTAACACATTTATCGAATTAAAATTAAGATAAAAACCTTCATCCGTTTGTATATTCGGCGATGAAATATTGAGAATATCTACATCTGTAGGTAGTACGATGTCGTTGTCCATGAGTTACTTTCGTTCTGCTCTCGAACCCCCTGCATACAGACAATTGAATAGACAATATATATAACCTCTACGGTAAGTAAAACAAAATTGTGGATGTAAATATGTGTAAGATTGATAAATTAATTATATTAATTATTTACTTTCATAAATATAATGATTGAATAAAAAGATTGATAAATCATACAGTACTCCATACTTTGTACTTCGTACCTTTCAATGGTTTAGGATGCAGAAGAATGGAAGATTTTCTCTTGGGTAGCGTGCAGCGTGCAAATAAGCAGTAGTGGTTTAGGTGTAGAAGAACGGGAGTCCTTCCTTTTGAGAAGTAGCGTGCGGCATCACAATTCTATTTTAATTTAATTATAAAATCTAATTAAAAAAATGTCATTAAATAATTAACGTGAGAGCTGTGTCTAACATGGAGTACGTGCTCCATAAGGAGCATGTGACATGCTCGCTAAATTTTTGGTACTATAGAAGGTAATTAATTAATTACGGAGTATTAGTGAGATAAACATTTGTGGAAGACAGGAATATAGATCGGTGAACATTTTCCTCAGATTTTCTCCCACCAATTTGAATCATAGAGATAAATCTAGTCTTAGGCAATGTTCTAAAAGGCGTAAGGCGTGCCGAGGCGGCACGGCCAAGCCTTAAGCCTTTGGAGCCTAGGCGGGCTTAGGCGGGGTTTAGGCGTGAAAAGGCGTTTCGATTTTTTATCCTTTAGTTTAATTTTCCTAGAGTTATTTTAAATATTTAAATTTAATATTAAATAATGTAATTCAAAAACATCATACATTTCTCATGTCTAAAAAAACATTTTCCAGTTTCTAAATCTAGCAAACACGGAGTATAAATTTACCAATTACACAAAAACTAGTAAACTAGTAATGTTAATACATTCCAAATAGATGATCAAAATAAGGTCAATAAATAAAAATGTGACTTAATAACTTTTATTGATTATAATTACATTTAAAAATATTCATTGTAGTGAATATAAGAATTTATATACAATCACTTTAGGCATGTTTTTCATCCATAAATTTTATTACCATAATATTTTAGAAAGAAACTTACAAAACCGACAATAGTGAAGACATAGATAATGGTAACAGTAAAGTACAATAAGAATGATATTGCATCTATCTCCCTAGACTGGGACAAAGGAGAGTGACATGCTTTTTAAGGAAAATAGAATTATGTGGCTGATAATGAATTGATAAATTGAGAATAAAATAAGAATAAATTAGAACCAAACAAATATTATCAAATATTGTACGAGAAAAACTAGTGGGACAGATGAAAAAAAGAAAAAAATAGAGGATTATAGTGAGTTGGAGAGAGTATATAACAATAACTCCAACAACAATAATATTAATATTGATAATTATAATAATAATAGAATATATTAATATAGTGTATTTTGGAATGGTGTGACGTTATAGAACAAGAAAAGCTCAACAATAACTAAAAAGTTTCTTTCCTTTTTAGAAACTTTCCTCCGTCATAGAATTCCTCCGTCAAACTTTCCCACACCGTGTGACCTTATAGAATTCCTATCTCTCAAACTCTATAAATTCCTCCGTCATATCCTTTCTTTCCTTTTGCAGTTCATTTCCTTCCGGCTTTGTACGCGCCTAGTAAGCTTTTCATCTCCGCCTCAAAAACATGTCTGCCGTGTGCGGCAAGAGAAGCTTCTTCGTGGATCCGTTGCCCCCTCTGAGCAAGAAAAGAATCCGCTGTTCTTCTGCGGCCGGTTCATTCTCAGTTTCATCGCCATCGCCTCTTAGTTATTTAATTGGTTGCTTCCCTAACATGGACAAAGAGGTTATTTTCCCTATCATTTCACATTTTCTCTATACCTTGACCATAAAATATACTTTACTTAGTATGAAAAATTCATCCCAATCTAATACCTTTTCCCTGCCCTCTAAATTCTATATGATACTCAAGGTTACTGAAGTACTTGGACCACCTTCAACCCATATCACAATTTTCACAAAAAATAGTGTAAAATCTTATCAATGAGTATGCTCACTTTAACCTTGTACACCACCCCATTTTCATTACACGTGACTTGGTTTTTGTGTTTTTATACATAATATTTAGTTTTGAACTAAAATTTACATGTAAATTTCTTAGGTTACTTACCTAACACACAAAACTGAAATGTCATAAATCTATTGTGCAGACCAAAGCTTCAACCATTCTGGCTCTAATTGGGGAAGCCCTTAATGTAGTATTTCACTTTTACCGTTTTATGTGTACAAAAAAACTCGTCAAATATGGGAATCAATGCTTTAAAATTGCATATTGGAAAAGAGTATGGTATATGGACATTTAACCATGTGGGTGTTGACAATTGATCACTTTAAAAAGTGCTGCCTGGTGCACGGGACTTTGGGAATTTGGGACTAAGGTGCTCATAATGACTGATGTTATCCTTTACTCTATTCGTAAATTTTGCACTGCAGTTGCTAGAAAAGGCACTTCATGAATGTGGACATGATCTTGATTCGACTATTAAGAGCCTCAATGAACTCTTTTTGGGATCTGGTGAGAATATTACCTCGGCTACAGGAAAGCCTGATGCTACCCTGGAGGCTAGCTCACATGTTTTAAATCAAGGTTCATTTTCACTCCTTTTTTATTTAATACTATTGAGTGTTTTCATTATATTTTTTAGGCTGATGTTTTTCATTGCAGCTGTTAGGGAAAGGAATTTGTTCATTCGTATCCATATCCTATAGGCTATATATGGAACCCAGAAACTTGTACGGAAAGGGAGAAATGCTAAAGAAATCTTAATTTTTGTTCTACTTCTACCATGAAATCTATGAATGAAAAGCAAATTTGATTAGAACTTTAAGCTTTTTCATATGTTCAAATTTGCTTATTATATAATAGAAATATGTAAATAAATTGACTCAACAAGTTTGAACCTAAGAAGCACAGAAACTGTACAGAACTCTCGTTTTGCCACTTCTTAAATTCTGAAACGTGTCGAAAACTTCAAATATCCATGCGATTTCTTTATTTTAAAAAGTTGGGAAGCATGTTTCTCTAGTTAGCTAGCAGCCTAGCATTTAAAAATGCCGGTTCTACTTCGGTACTTTTTTTATTTTTTATGGAAATGAGTGTTTTGATGGTGTTACTTGATAGTTTTTTTTGGGTGGGATTTCTTTATGGCAACACCGCAACATATTGTCTCCAATATTTCGTAGCGCTGTGTTGCTGGAAATGTAGTGCATTTAACAATTAACATATGATTATGTATAAATATAAATATGTAAATAATTTATGTATTGAACTTTTACACTAATATTATTTGGTTAAGTAGCAAAGTGGCCAAAGTCAATACGAAAAAATATTTTTTTACATATATTTATATATATGTATGTGTGTGTCTATATATCTCTATATGTGTATATGTATATATATGATTTATTTTAAATATATATCTATAGTTTTTATACTTACATGTTCTTTCTATGGTCATATTCTCCAGAATTTATTTCCTTCTAAAATATCCCCTATTTTCATCCATATTTTTTCCATGTTCCTTTCGGACCTTATTGTGTGTGTTTACACATGTTGCATTTTTCAGTTTGACAGTTTTTTTTAATCAAAGCTTTTGAAACTGTGGATTTGTTTTCTTTACAATGGACACATGGGTTAAAATTTACCCGTATATTCGTTGTGTCCTTCCTCTAACTGCAGTCATGGTCGAAAAAGAAAACCCAGGGTTATACATAATTCTGCTCATTCTTATGTTTTTTTTTGCTTGTCTTTAGAGTAAGCATTTTGCATTCTTTCCTATTGAAGAGGTATTGAACCGTTCTGAGTTCTGATTAAAATCAGAAAACATCAAGAGGTGTGGAAGTTGAACATAACTTCCTAAAATCCAACTGTAAAAGATCTATGCATAGAGAAATTACTTAGACCAAACTTAGTGTAGGTAGGTTGGGGCCCAGTTAGCCGCCACCAATAGGCCCCAGCGGATCATTTTCACATAAGACCTTATGTAACATTTCTATGCATTGATGATATTCTTTATGTTTCACATGAGTTGGAATTCTATGTCTAGTATTCAAGTTGATGTTGAAGTTGACATTTCCAGATTTCCTGGATATGCAGGCTCAACAGGTAGTGGGGATGTTTCACCTCATGAGCAACCCTCAGCAAATAATCAACCCCCTGTTAATAGGGAAGAATTTGTTGACATTTTTGTCAGAGAAATGATGGTTGCATCTGATATAGAAGATGCTAAAGCCCGCGCTTCAAGGGCCCTCGAGGTTTTTGAGAAGTCCATTTGTTCACATGCTTCAGAAGCGGCCACTCGAGGTTTCCAGCAGGTAGTGTGTTAGTAGGCTCTGCTTTTATGCTGGATCTCCTTGTTTGCCTCTGATTATTATTTACATTTCGGCCCCACATAGATGTTCTTCTCTACTTTTCCTCCAAGAGGACCACCTATTGCTTCTGAGAATATCCATATCGAGTTTTATTTTTATCTATCTAAATCCCGTGCTTCAAGGGCACTCAAGGTTTTTGAGAAGTCCATTTGTTCACATGCTTCAGAAGCCGCCAGCCGGAGTTTCCAGCAGGTAGTTTGTTAGTAGGCTCCACTTTTGTGCTGGATCTCCTTGTTTGCCTCTGATTTTTAATTAGATTTCGGCCCCGCTCAGATGTTCTTCTCTAGTTTTCCTCCAAGAGACCACCTATCGTTTCTGAGAATATACATATCGAGTTTTATTTCTATCTATGTTGCATGATAACACTTAGGCTCCATTTGGAACTATGGTAGGGAATTGATAGAGGAAAGTATAAGAGGAATTTGGAAGGAAAAAATATGAGGGAAAATAATGTTGTTCATACTCAAGTATAGTCACTTTTTAGATCCTTCAGTATGTTGCTTGTCATCCTGTAATTTATGCTTCTTTAGTCCCTCCTTGATTCTTCAACAACCCTAATTCAAAAAAACTGGTCTGACTTAGGGAGATATCTTTCATGTATTTTTACTCCATTTTGTTTTGTAAAAATAATTCATTTTTTTTAGAGATCCCTAAAAATATATTGAGAACATGAATGATTAGTTTCACCTAGCCTTAAAGTATCAGCAGAATTATCGGTACTTTACATTGATGTCGATTTCAATAAAAATGTGACTGGTATTAAATCTTAAGAAATAAACACAGGATCTTAAAGTTAATTTTAAAATTTTATTTCTTAAATTTAACATATATTTTTTATAAGAAGACATCTTAATTATGTATATGCTGAAGTAAAATGCTACACCCTACATATATTTTAACAATTTTCCAACAAAATATTAATTTACAAAGGTTCTTGATACAATATTGTTGATTATTTGAGCACTAATGTTTTCACTCTGATATTGATTATCTGATTTGGTATCAAATCTGATACCTCTCAATATTTCATCAGGAAATTGAAGAAAGTTCATTGATTTAAATAGTTTTAACATTTTCCATCAACAGATATTTCTGTGTTCATTTTATCCGTTTGTATTGTTTTTTGGCTTTCTGAAATCAATGAGTGGAAATATCAGATTACTCCCCAATATATATCAGTTAGTGTGAAAAACCCAAAAAAATCTGCCAAAGTTTCTGATGTAACATTCCTCACAAACGTTTCTCTATGCAAAAACTATTCATTAAATCTCTGTTATGAAACTCAGGAGAACACGGTGTTGAGACAACAGCTTGAAACTCTACTACATGAGAATAGTATTCTGAAACGAGCGGTTTCCATACAGCATGATCGCCAGAAAGAATACGATGAAAGAGGCAGAGAAGTTAACCATTTAAAGCAGCTCTTAGCTCAATACCAAGAACAGCTAAAAACTCTTAAGGTAAAGTCACCATCACTGTTCATCACCTGGGTAAATGCATTTCGGGTCGTGGAACTATAGGGTTTGCTGAAGTTAGTCTTGCTGATATTTGTTTCGGCTGGTTTAGACTCGAACTAATGGGAAATTAATCCATCATAAAGTACCATTTAAATCGGTGGCCCAGTGTGCTAATAATTTTTAAAGTTTTGAAATGCCAAGAATGACTCTTAAATAAAAGAAGTGTAATTGTCGTTTTTATATTCTATTATTACATTCTTGGCTTTTTTTTTACATTTAATGAAATTTTCACATCACCTTCATTGGATCCTCAACCGAACTTTGTGAGGAATTTCTCACACCTTGGTGGATTAATGGAAGAAAATATTATAGCGAGACTAGTTTTTGCTAATTCTAGGCAAAATTGCATTTTACCTGCTCCACTACCTTGATCCCAACTATATTGCGGTGTACAGCTTGACATTTTTCGTCAACTAATTGCATGAGCCTGATTTGATTAACCTGAATTGCAATCAGATTGTCATGTTATTGAATGCATCTTTCCTCCCGTCTGAATGTTATTACCTTAGAAGGGGAGCTATGCATCTTTCCTCCCCTTAGAAGGTTATTACCCTAGAAGGGGAGCGATGTATCTTTCGTCCCCTCCTATCCAACCTAACAAAGACATACAAATTGAACTGTTCAAGGCTCTTACTCGTCAAATTGTGTGCTCATCAGGTTAACAACTACGCACTTGCAATGCATCTCAAGCAGGCACAACAAAGTAACTCCATCCCGGGACGTTTCAACCCTGATATCTTTTAGTATGGCTTGACGCCCGTTTGTCCATCAGAAGCAGCGTATACCAATTGTGTATTTTCTTAAATGATATATTGATATAATTTAGACTTAGTTAATCAATATATTGAAATATATTATTGTGTGCCAATACTGAACTCAATACGATTGCTTGTGCTTTGCCTTTTAGTGGATTTTTGTTTTTGCTCAATGCAAACAATTTCTTACTAATTAGCAACTGTAAACACTACACTACTTTTTTGGTTTTTAATGTAGCTCCTTTCTCATATTAGTTGTTAGTTTTGACTTTTGAGGGAGGAAGTTAGTGGCAGATGGGTTTCAATCTAGAAGGGAGGAGTACTAGGTGGTCTACCCCGGCCCCTGCACATTATTTTTATCATTAGGCAGTGAAATGTTCTAATCAATGAAATAGAAGGGTATCATTGCAACATAAGAGTTGTACGATAGTATTACGTATTGATAGGGGTGGGATTGGGATGATTGCCAAATTCCCGATCCCGTCCCGGTCCCGATTTGAAATAATATATGATCCCGAGACTTGTCCCGATTAAGTCGGGATTCCGACAATAAAATCCCGATTAAGTTGGGATCCCGATCGGGATTCCCGATAAATCCCGACACGTTGTTATCAAATATAAATAAAAAAAGGTAATTCATCAAACAAAATGAAACTAATAATGGCAGCACAATTTCAAGTCTAAATAAAACATACAACATAGAAATATAGAAATTCGATGATTTAAAATCGGGAAAACTGTCAAATAGGTCCTCGAACTTTCATAAAAAAGTCAATTAAGTCCTTCTATAAGAGACTTTGTCCGATCGTCGCGCTTTGGGGCGGTTCTTGGTGGAATTTTTTGATGAAATTTTTTGAGCATCTTATTCATCAAGTCTAGTTTATTCATACCAAATTTCAGCTAAAAATTTAATCGAGAGCGGATTCAAATTAATTCGAGAACACAAATATACGCAGTTATCTTCAAGAATTAATTTGAATGTGTTCCCGATTGAATTTTTAGCTGAAATTTGGTATGAGTAAACTAGACTTGGTGAATAAGATGCTCAAAAAAATTCATCAAAAAATTCCACCAGGAACTGCCCCAAATCGCGATGGCTGGACAAAACCTTCTATAGAAGGACTTAATTGACCATTTTATGAAAGTTCGAGGACCTATTTGACAGTTTTCCCATTTAAAATCACATATAGTTAGCACTTGGCCGCAAAGATATTTTTATCCAGCGAGTTGAGCATTGGTTCTAGCTTCTAGAGGCTTGTCTGACTTCCGGACAGAGAAGAGCCTCGACCTCTCGGCAAAGAAGTGCCTTGACCTCGTGATCTGGGAACACTATCACCTCTTGGCTTAGGAGTAGAATGACCCATATCTCTACCTTGGACACCAAAGTTACCGGCATTCACACTTGAGTTTATCGAAGTAGAACTAGATTGAGATGAATTTAATGTGATAGCCGGAATAACAGAAGCCACTTGAAGAGATGTACCCGGACTAGAGCTGGGCTCGGTCCGGTTCGGGCCCTGTTCGGGCCTGGGCCCGGCCGGGCCTCGGGCCAGGAAAGGGGAGGCCCGAGCCTGAACCGCCGGTGGCCGGTTCCGGGCCGGGCCAAACCGGCCCATTTTTTTGTTCTCCTATTTAATCCCCTACCCCTCCCCCTCAACCCCAAACCATCCCAAACCACCTCAAATGACCCAAAATACCTAATCCAACCTAAAACTTAAAAAAATTTCAAAAAAAAAAAATTAAAATCTGGCCCGGACCCGAACCGGCTGGGCCGGTTCACCAAAAGCTGGGCCCGAGCCCGGACCGCCCAGCACCCGGGCCGGGCCAAACCGAACCGGTGGACCCACCGGGCCACGGACCGGGTCGGGCCAAACAGTGACCAGGCCGGTTCGATCCCGGTTCGGGCCGATCGGCCCGAGTTCACCCCTAACCCGGACCCATTTGAATGTTTTGCCAATCTACATAAGTAGTTAAATCCACAAGAAGTTGCTATATGTTAAAATTATACTCCGTATTTGATTTTTTTTGCTTCAGCTTCTAAACCTGAAGGCACGGAAAAAACAGCTTATTAGCCCTACTAGAAAGTAGAAATTAAACAAAACATGTACTTATGTGTCCCTAAATTATTATTTTTAAAAGTAGTAAAAATGTGATCTCAACACAACTAATAATTATAGTTTTATTTGTGGATTGGAATAGTTTCAATCAATGCGCTGATCAATATGTTAATATTAAGGAATTCTATATAACAACCTTTTTTGAAGTATTTTTCTATTCCTCAGTGAAATGCAAAGCAAAAATAAAAATCGGAACCAACCTTTTCTATAGCGAACTTCCTTTGACAGTTGTATTATTTTCTCGCACGTGTGAGACCTTCCTTTGACAATTGTTAGATAGAACCTTACATTCTATTTCTATTGCTTCAAGTGAAATTATAGTTGATACTCATTGTTTAAATGAAACTAGAACTGGTCAGATTTTCATGTTGAGTTAGTATTTAATTTAATGATTTAAAGACTTCGTCAATTTCGTGAAGTATCTTGAAGCTGCATGCTCACCTTTGTTACTTAGTAAAGGAGTTACGTATTTTTAGGAAAATTAATGTAAAAGGAGTTTAATTACAAAAAAGAAAGAAAGTGTGATGATTTAAATGAGACGTTTGAAAAAGAAAAGTATAAAGATTTAAATGAGACGAAGTGAGTAATAATGGAGATGATATTGATGGTGTAAAATACATACTCTATATTGGTTAAATATATATTCTCTCTGATGTAATTTTATCAAACTTTCTCTTTTGGTTGTCTCACTAAACTTATCACTTTCTTTTTGAAGTAAAGGATTTGTGGTTGCAGTTGATTCTCTCTTTTTTGTTCAAATCCCAGTCGCACATTTGTTATTTTATTATTCATGTGCCAGTCTAATTTACCAAGTTTTAAGGGACGCATGCAATAATATACAATAAGGAAGTTATGTTTTTACTAACATTTCATTTAATTGATTTAGATCCCATTTGGTGACTCTGTTTTCAACTTATCAAAATTAATAACCAATTTTTCATCAAATATACAACTTTTGATTTTGAGCATTAAATTGTCTAATAATCAAAATAAATAAGTTAAAGATTATTTTTCTGGCAGAACTGTCTAAAGTTACTGCAGAGAATCATTTTAACCATTTTTCATATTTTTTTTGTTTCATTACCAAAATAAATTTAAAATATAATTTTCCTAAATTTTCATTTTCTTACCTCTACAACATATAAAATCTATGTATTTTTTTATTTGACAAAAATATACATTAAATGACATTGTAAAAAAAATAATTTCAAATAATTTGTTTTACCATTCTAGATACACTTCGTGCATCGCACAAGTATTTCGTCTAGTTAGCGGATTAAGCCAATTCATCTTATGCATCACTCTTACAAAACGGGCTTTAAAATGTTTTTCAAAAAGTAGTATAGAAGTCCTAGAAGGTTTTTCAAAGTGAACCTAAGCTTTTGTCGTAAAATACTAAAATAGTAAGCCGACAAGATAAACATGCTTATATTTTGCATATAAGATGCTAGATAGCGTGATGCACTGATGCATGTGAGTTTATGGTTCAATTGACTAACAAGTAAAAAGCAAAATAATTCGTAGTTATTACCAGATGGTTAATACTCATTTGTATTCATACCAAGAAGCAAACTAGTGTTCTAAGTCAATGAAGGTTGTGAAAGGCCAAATGGACCAACAAAATTTCAACATAACAAATCCATACAGAGCAATCCATCACTACTAAAGAGGACAACAATCACATGACAAATTATAAGAGTACCTGAGCATCCTCTCTTATTCTTAGGTTTTGTCCGGCAGGATTTAGCAAGTCATTAACAACCTGAACAATGTGACAACAAGAATTAGTTCAATAATTAAAACAATCGACAAACATAACTTTGTAAGCTGACAAAGTTACTTGCACATGAACTTCCAGATGTGACGCAATAAAACAGCTCTGGACCATTAAACCATAAAAACATACCTCATTGTAGATTTCCAGATATGACACACGAAGCAGGTATTCTCGGCTAGGAGTCTAAAGCATGAAAAAAGTGCAGTTGAGGGTCTGTCTCAAAGCATAAAGCTCAACAGTATGCAGTTATTCAAATATATTGAAGTCTACCTCTTGAATTATACTGAAGGCATCCTTCACAGCCAATGGTATAATACCAGGGGACCTCTGATCACCCTATATGCATGTAAGTAAAAAAAAATAGTCAAGAGAAGTTATTACATTACTGCTATTAATTTTATTGTTGTTATTAAAAGACTCCTTCGGTCATTTTGTGTGGCCATAACAGGAGACAGACTCACATCACTATATGTAGATGTGGCATCAAGAATCATGAGAACAATGAGCTCTTCTAAAGTTTTTAAACTAGATGTTGTCATAGTACTCCTAACCATGTAACAAGACAAAAGAAACTTAGCATGCCTATCTCACAAATAAACCTTATAAACGCCCTATGTTGACATTTGTGTGCAACACCCCTCAGCTGGGAATGCCACCCCACATTGGTCCCGCAAACTAAACATTGTCATCTTCTAACTATTAACCATTTAGTACTAAACTGATAATACGGATATGGTCCACGAATATAGTAAGGTCCATTTAAAGACAATTTGTTCCCCCATTTCAAAATGTTGCCTCCATTCTGTAGCATGCATCTTCACACTAAGGTCTGGGCTCACTCATCATTGACACCAAAATGGTGTTATGCTCTTGTCTATATCATGGTACTGAATTTGAGCAGTTTTTAAGAAATGATTTTTTCTTACATGCATGGTGTGAGTTTTACCGCTGCTCGTAACCCCATATGCAAAGATTGTGCCTGTGATTGGACAGAAGCAACAAAAAAAAGTACTCGGCTTTAGCAAGATTGATGCTTGAAACAAATTCTCTTAATAAGGATTAGATTACTACACAACTGCATGGACATTATGCAAATTGAAAGTGAGGCTTAGAGGAAATATGAAGTAATCAACTGCTCAAACATTATACAGTGTAAAGGAGACTGTGAGGCAATATCAAGTAAATGATTGCATAATGGATGCTGGGTTTAAAATCCATTAATCCAATACTTGAGGTAGAGAAACAGACAACATAAGTCCATGAATTAAAAACCAAATGCCTGCTGGTTATATATAACACGCAAGTTTTAAAAGCAAATGGCTTCACATAGTTAAAGGGAGTGCTATATCTCATATAGTAAGGGGTTGTTTGTTCCATAACTCCAAAATAAGAATCAGAAT